ATACCATTAAAAGTCATACTTAATACATCAATTGTTGCTAGAGTAAGCAAACTCGTGTTTTATTATCATTATCATCATCATCATCATTATCTTCTTCTTCTTCTTTTGCTTGACTCACTTATTCATAATCTATCTATTCATAATCACCAACAATAAAAATTGTAGGATTATCAAGTTCTTGTGATATAGTAACATTACATGGAATAAAAACTTTAACTTCTTAGTACACACCTTCAATTAAATTAGTTGTTTGTTTTTTATTTTCATCATTATTAATTACCCGATATCTACTCCTATCCTTTGTTTTGAAGATTGCCCACTAATCATTTTGATCCTTTTTTTTAAAAAGATAGCTTATATAAAAAACTTGATGTACTTGAGAAGTTAAGACAAATGGTTCATTGCTATCAAGCATTGAATTGTGTTTAACTTCAACAACACTATAATGGGGATCTACCGTTACTTCATTCTCTATGTCAAACTAATGACATTTAAAAAATACAACTTTATTCCCTGTTCCAAAATATTCTAACTCAAGGATATCTTCTAAGATATCATAAAAGTCATGCTCATAATCATTATAACAACTTTCTTTCACATATACCCCATAATTCATCGTCTTTCGACTTTGGCTATAGTTAATCATATGAAACTTAGAACATTTACTAAGTAATTGTTGAAACACCTAACCATGCATCTAGGGTCATAGGCTATCTCAACTAGACGATGATCAATTTCACCATTTTGCTCTTCAACCTATCCAATTGTAAAACATTCAAATTGATAATTGTTTTTAATTATACAAAAATATTATTTCTTTTCACATATGCTATTATGCTCTAAACTTACAAATTATCTTAACCATTGCGAAAAATTTGCATCACGTGCTTCCTCTAATTTTGTATCACTTATAGTCACAAATTCTATTTTCATTAAGTCATCAAATATCCTATCATTATAAATTATGAATTAGAAATATTTAAAAAACTAACTAAAAACACATGAGTTATCATATTGACATAGTACTTACTCAATGTAAGGATTTATCTCTTCACAATTTAATAAAACATAAAAGTGTGCCTTGGTGTGCTTATTCCCTGATAGCCATTGAGACTTATCTTGCAGACTCAATATTTGACCACAATGAGTAAAAGCCAAAAAAAGTCCTCCAGATTCTATGACTCCATCATCATTACGTAAAGCTTGATTCAATCTTGTTGATACATTAGGATCAAATATAATGAGAAAAAAGTGGATTTATCCTCAATAACATATACCTCATATATAGATACTTCAACAAATGCTCTATTGATGCATTTTTTTCATGAAATGATGAAGAAACCTCATCATCATCATAACATAACATAACATAAATGTTATTGACTAGAAATTAAATTAATAAATGTTAATGTCTAACAACTTAAATATATTACCTCTTAAACAAATACATCCATCAATAATGAAAAAGTCCACCAATTTTTGCCTTATTAAGCAAATGAATCAGTAAATGCTCCATAGAATCAAGCAAACCTAAAGGAAAAATCTTTTCTAATTTGTATATTATTTCTACAATTTTTTTCCAACACTTTCATACATGTTCTATGGATATTTGTGTTCTACAGAACATAAATATCAATATTTTGATTGAGACTACTCTTTCCTGGAATGACCATATTTAACAAGATATATTCTTGCTTCATATACATCCATGGTGGCAAATCATATACTAATACATTACTAGCCAACAAGAGTATGGTTTCATTCTTGGACCAAATGGACAAAAACCATCAACACATAATCCTAATCTAACATTTTGAACTTCAACTGCAAATGATTCATGGATGCGATTGAAATGTTCCTAAGTTTCACCATCAATAAGATAACAAAGTACATCATCATGACTTTGGTTATGGCATGCCATGTCATATATTTAATAGTTTTACTTGACATATAGAGTTTTTAAAGACTTGATATCAGTGGCATATAACATAAGATTTATAAAAAATGTGTTTTTTTTTTCACTACCAAACTTATTCCTTAAATATGGAGGATGACCACATACCAAACAATACGTTAAATTTGTTGCTTCCTTGTAAAACAACATGCAATTATTTTCACATGCATGAATTTTCTTATAACCAAATCCAAGTTTTGTCATCTTTTTTTTCATTTTATAAAAGTTTTTTGGTAATTTATCATCCACCAACAACATATCATTCACTATATTCATCAGATGATCAAATCATGACTTACTCATGTTAAATTTTAATTTACAATTTAAAAGTTACAACATAATAGATAGGATTGTGTGCTTCATATAATCTAACCATAACAGTTCATTTGCATCATTCAATGAAGAAAAGAAGCTTGTCGCATCTACACTTGGATCTCTCTCCTCAACTTTTGCATCACTAGCATGATAAGCATTCACCCCAAAATCAGGATAGACAGCATCCATAACCATTTTAGTATATGAATTTTCTAGTCTTACTTCACTAATTTATTCAAATGTATTGCTACTACTTGATGGTTATTCTACTTCTAATTTGCATGTGAATCCTAACTCATATAACCAAGAGTAAACCTTTTACAATAAAGTGTTCTTGCAAAACATCCGCATTTAAAAATCATTTATTCTCATATTGGATATAAGGACACCTAATCTTCCCATTATTTACAAACGATGGTTGAGAATAAGCATATCCAATAAATTCCTCTACACCATTTAAGAAGTTTTGACTAATGTATCTATTTACATCTAAACGAGAATACATTCAAAAGCAATCTTTATCTATTTTTTAACCCTAATTGCATTATCATAAAGATCCAAAAAATATTACTCTTAGTATAGTAAACTGAAAATTAAGTAAATAAAGTCTTAAAGAGCAATTACGAAATTCATACACATGCACTCATGCACGTATGTTTTGAAGGTAATTTTAATCATTAAAATTAACAATTCAACATTTTATTAATTGATACTGTTGACAATTTAGAGCAAAGTTTATTTCTAACATAATATATACATATATATATATATATAGCTCTCTATTAATTTTGTTTATGTCAAATTTATGGAATAAGGTTCCTTTCATCCTCAAAAGTAGAAGATAAAAAAGTTGACTATTTCTTTCTCTTAATTAATTGTGAATGTCTTTTAAGAATATCAAATATCTACTTATTCATTGTTGAAAACAAATTTCTAACCAATTTGTACAACTTATTTCAACAAAGATATTTTTCAAGTTATTTCTTTCAAAGTTAAATGTCTTTCTCAAACACTATTTCTTAATGTTTTCTTATAAACTTATCCAATTTCAAAAAATGACTGCCTAATTATTGCAAATACCAAAAGTAAAGTTTTTGTTAAAAATCCCTTCAATAAAACACTTCTCTTTTCTAAGATCTTAATAGAAAATTGAAAGTTTCAACTTTATATATGATATTTTTACCTTATTAGTACATACCAATATCCATAAAATTTGTGTTTATCCTTTCAATGAAATTAATAGATGTAAGATAAGAATATTGAAGATCTATTTGGTATAGTTTTCATTGATAATTCTCATGAAACCAAATTCGTATAATCATTATTATTTGTATTTGTCACACATGTAATATATATGCAGAAAAAAATTATTAACCCTAATTACAAGTAATTTCTTTTTTCAGTTGAATGCCTCAACTATACCTTGTCTATGTCAAAATCAATAAGCCAAGTAATGAAATTATACCTTGGCAGAAGAGATAAGTTCCAAACTAGCTGATGCAGTCATGGGCAGGCACAAGTGATCATAGGCACAGTCATGGGCTCAAGGGCTTAAGGGCCAATAGTCACAGGCTTAAGAGCTCAAAGTCATGGGCCTAAGGGCCAATACAAAGGCAATGAGAGGGTGGCTCGAGTACGACCATGTGCTAGTGATAAGAAGCGAAAAGAGGAAAGAAGGATGGAAAAGAGAATAGAAAAGGGAGAAAAAAGCATGGGCTCACAGCGATGGCAGAAAAGGGCAGCACGAGCACGGGTTAACAGTGAGGATCGAACAAAGGAAATGAGAGAGAAAAAAAAAGGTAAGGAGATAGAAGAGGAGAGAGAAACCAAAGTTAAGGTTTCAATCGAGGAAGAAATGAAAGGGGGAAGTGGATTCTTAGATTCAACTTATATTTATCGATGGAAAATCCATAATAATTCAAAATTTTTTTAACTTTTAGTGACATATTACTGATGGAACCCGTTGGTATTTTTTATTTTACCAATAGATTATCGACAGACTCTATTTCTAAATAAAAATTTTTCCTCTCAATTTAATTCCAATTCTTTTATTTTTTTAAACAAAAAATTTTTTACTAACCGAAAAAATCTATCGATAAATCGTCAGTATAGCTTTTAGTAATGGATTATCGATAGATTTTTTTATTGATAAAAAAGTGTCAAATCATAATTTTTTTGTGACAACTTCACTTGTAGAACACCTATTAATTTTCATTGGTAAAATATTTTTTATTTTTATTTCTTGTCGATATTTCGTCAATAATTATTAACAAAAAATTTTTATCAGTGATACCATTATTTTTTATAGCGTCAATGGGATAAAAAATTATTATCAAAGAAGAATAATGACATTAAAAATAAAAAATATATGTATAAATAAAATATACAATATGAATATTAATAGATTTGTAAAAATATATAAATATTATTAATAATATAAAAATATATATAAAAAATAAATAAAAATAATATATTTTTTTAATATTGTATTTTATGACGAGTTATGTGCAGTAAAAAAATGGAAAATTTAGAGGAAAATATACCCTAAGTTTTCACTTGATCTTTCCTTTATTTTGTGTGTAATTATGTAGAATTAAATCATTATTTTTTAAAACATTAAAAATTTATACTAAAAGTATCTCAAACATTAAATTTTTTTTAGTTGCATCACTTAATTTTATTTGACTGTTGAGGCCGAAGAAAAAATGTATATATATTTTTTTAACAAAATAAAACAGAACGGCCAAAAGCACACAAGCCGAATTGAACAGGGCCACGTCGTCATTTCTAAAACCAATTAGTATCCATTTTTTTCTGACCGCCACCAAATCTAAAAACCTAGACTCCAAAATCCTAAACAAGCCCAAAGCAAAACGAAGCTAATATCAGAATTCAATTTCCGGCAATGGGGACATCAATCGAAGCAGCCGTGGAATCGTTGTGCCAAATAAAGTCAAACGAGCCGCCGGTGTGGCTTGTGCCGAAACAAGAGCTCTCAAAAGCTGTTCGAGAGGCGTTGAAGCACCTCTTCTCGAGCCTGAAACCTCACAGTCCAAAGTCTCCGTTTGATCAACTTCTGATCGAAGGGTTTGACGCGGAGCAGATATGGCAACAGATTGACCTCCAATCACAGCCGCTATTATCCACCCTCCGACGCGAGGTCAAGAAGTTCGAGAAGCATCCAGAGGAGATTTCCAAGCTCAAGGAAGCTGTAGAAGGAGGAAAGAAGAAAAAGGTTCTAGAAGACAATGAGACTGATAATGTTGATGACGATGACGGCAAAGACAATGATGATATGGATATGGATATGGATATGGGATTGAAGATGAAGATGAAGATGAAGATGATGATAATGAGGAGGAGGGGGAGGAGAGAGGAAGGGAAGAAGAAGATGAGAGTGAAGGAGAGGAAAAAGGAGGGATAGAGGATAAATTTTTAAAAATTAAGGAATTGCAAGAGTATTTAGAGGAGGATGAAGCTAGAGAATTTGGCTTGAAGCAGAAGAAGAAAACAAAGACAGAAGCTAAGAAGGATGAAGAAGACACCGAAAAAGATGATGATGATGATGATGAAGGAGAAGAAGAAGAAGAAAATGATGATGATAATAATGATGAGACAGAGGAGGAGGAGGACGTGGTAAGAACAATTCTACTCTTTCCATTTAGTTATTGTTTGACAATGTTGTTGATCACAATTTAATGTAACCTGTATTATGCAGCTTGAGCTCTTTGATGAGGATGATGAAGACAACTTGGAAAATGCCAGGTTCTAATTTTTGAATTTTATATATATAAATATATATATATATATTTTAACTTTACTTTTTTTTTCCGTTCTTCCTTACTGTCAAAGTGAAATTTACTGTATTTAAGATGTGAATGTAGTTATTTCTTAATCTTGCGAACTATGGAAATGTATTACTGGTAATGCTGTCATTATAGCACCGATGTAAGGGCTACTAATGAGTCTCCGCTTTCTTTATGCTGCATGACTCGTGAGTTTTCTGAAATAAGGAAAACAATATTTGATGCAACCATACAGAACGTCTATTATGATGTTGGCATACACCATGAAAATATCTGTTGTTGGACATCACTACTTATTTTATCACTTCTGCCATTATAATTGACGATAATACCGCTTACCACTTCTTAGGGATCCTCTAGTCTATTTGGTAATGCATGTGTACTGTTTTAAGTTTTGCACCTCAGATTTTTAAGCAATCTAAAAGATGTATCAATCATACTTCTTCAGTTACTTCATGCACAGAGGAAAATTTCCTCTCTTTGGATTTTTCTCATTGCAAATGATTAACAGGAATCTAACCATCACCTCTCTTTTACCCTGCTGGGATATGATGCTTCCTTAATGCCGTTTGGATGCTTTCTATTTCTCAAGCATTATTTCTTGAAGTTTTTGTATGCAATAATTGCACCACATATTATTGGCACTAGTTTCTTTCTAAATTTTAACCTTCAGTTTGACCTTGTATTTCGCTTTCCTAAAGCTTATTTGTGCCCTTATGATATTCAGATATGAAGATTTTTTCAGCAGAAAAAAGAATAAGGGTCCCAAGGAGAAAGCCAAATCTAGAGACTGGTTAGAAGAAGATTCAGGAGCAGATGATGAACAAGATGCTTCTAAGGTAGTGGGAAATCAGGTTTTGTATTCTATTCATGTATAATTTACAAATAAATATTGAAAATTTACACACAGTACTGATAACTAGATTTGTCACGCCCACTATGAGGGTGTAAGAGGGAAAATAGGTAAAATGAAAAAAGAATTGAAAAAAGGAATTTACCTAACTGTGGGAATGGGTAACTTTTTTTCCAATTGCATGTGAAATGTAAAATGAAAATTAATTCAATAATGATGTAAATCCTCATTTATAGGAAGATTAAATGACATTTATATTCTCATTTTATATATTTACTATGACTTTTTTTTTTTTTGGGGGGGGGGGGGGTGTAATTTCAGCAATTGAGTTTGTCACTTGACTTGTTGCACTAAACTTGATCAATAGCTTTATATATATAATTTAGACGTATATGCAACTTCAGACAATAATACTGCATATATTGATTTTACCAGATTAAATTTTATATTTTTTTTCTTTTACAGAGAAAGGATGGCCTTTCTAGTCATGAAAAGGAACTTGAAAACCTTAGATCTAAAATAGAGCAGATGGAGAAAGCAAACATGGATCCAAAAGTTTGGACAATGCGTGGAGAGGTAACTTTGTCATTTTTTATTTGTATAAGCTGTCCTTGTATCATTTACTACATTTGTTATTGGAGAAGAATAAGATTATTTATTCTAAGATTTTTAATAACAGGTAACTGCTGCACAAAGGCAAAAGAATAGTGCATTAGAAGTTGATTTAGATTTTGAGCACAATGTCAGGCCTGCCCCCGTAATCACAGAGGAGGTTACTGCATCACTTGAAGATTTGATTAAGACTAGGATCAACGACGTAAATTTCTTCCCTAACAGTTAGAATTTGGAATTTTTTGTTTAGTAAATAAATTTATTAACCTTATTTCTGATGCTTATTCAAAATGTTTATTATGAATCATGCATTGTCTGTACTTTTCTCTAAAAACTGCAGCACTGCCTATCTTTCTGTTTCATATATCTGTTAAACCCAGTTAAGTTTATTGACTGCATAAAGAGCTCTAGATATAACTCGATTATAGACGACTGGGTATGTAATAAGTTTATGTAGCTAGAGATTTTTGTTATATTTCTAGATTTATGCAGTATTTTCCTAAAGTTTTGTGCCTGTTGTTGCCTGTCAGTTGATACATTTGAAATTCTTGATGATACTTCTGTTTTAAGATCTTGTTACGTCCCACACTCCCAGTGGAGGGTTGCTTAGTGATAACAAACTATAATGTTATGATTTTATTTAGGGGCGGTTTGATGATGTTCAAAAGGCTCCCACTTTATCATCTAAAGCACCAAGAGAGATCAAAGAGCTGGTAAGTTGTAATTCATCATTAGTAGTTTCTTTTAAGGTTTTTGTGGCTTTTTTACTTAATGATGGAAATTAATTATTTTAAGCTGCATCTTTGTTATATTGCAGGATGAGAATAAGAGCAAGAAGGGTCTTGCTGAAGTTTATGAGGTTTGTATGCTATTATCATATATTGTTAAACATTATATTAGATTAAAATATCCTGTCCAATCACTGTCCAGCACTTTTGTGTGTTTCATTTATAAACCAGCTTTTATATATTTTCAAGAATCTTGAGTAAAAATTACTCAGAATATTTTAATCTTTTTTTTTTTAATGCAAAAACTGAAATACAAAAACTGTATAATCCTTTGCAGGAAGAATTTGTCCAGAGGACAGATCCAGCCTCTGCCCCATTATCCTTCTCAGATGAACTAAAAAAAGAGGTAGATATTATATGGTTTTTTTGTCTTTTAGTACCCTTGCCCCATAGCATTCCAACCAAGAATTCACTTTTTACATTAGTTTTTATGTTTGATATTCAGGCATCTAAGGTGTTTTGTTCCTGTATTTTCTTTTACCAGGCCAGTATGCTGTTCAAGAAACTTTGCTTGAAGTTGGATGCTCTTTCTCATTTTCACTTTACTCCAAAACCTGTATGCTTCTCATTTGGTTTCCTGATTCCAAAATATGGTCATTATAAATCAGCATGCAAGAGTGTTTAGTATATATGTCTTGATTTCTGTAGGTTGTTGAGGACATGTCTATACAAACAAATGTCCCCGCACTTGCCATGGAAGAGGTAAAGAGGTTTACCAATTATTTTTTTAAGAATCTCGGTCTTGTCATAGTTTAACAATTACTAATATGCATATATGTGTATGTATATGGATACATACATACATACATATATATATATATATGCTTATTTATTAATTTTCGTTGGTTAGATTGCACCCATGGCCATCTCAGATGCAGCTATGCTGGCTCCAGAAGAAGTGTTTGCTGGTAAAGGTGATATTAAAGAAGAAGCAGAACTCACGAAGGCAGAGAGGAAGAGGAGGAGGGCTAATAAGAAAAGGAAATTTAAGGGTAAGCAAATTAAAAATTTTCAGCGACATTAAAATGAAAACTAATACCTTATACTCTGCTGTTGTAATGAAATTTAGGAACTTAGAGTCCCATTCCTTATTTTAGAAACCTGCTGAGACAAACTTCATGTAAGCTTTGGATCAGAACATTGTTGGCAAAGAAGCCTTTTCTGCTAATGATTTAATGCACAATCTCTCACAAGCATATCATTCTTCTCTTGCTAGTCCTGTTACTAAAACCTCCAATGATGGCATTTACTTAGTTTTGGTAATTGAATGATTATCCCATTCAAAGAATGCAATCTACTAGCTATGGTCTTAGTTTTGGTAATTGAATGATTATCCCATTCAAAGAATGCAATCTACTATCTATGGCATCAGGTGATCCAGTTAATTGGTTGCTGGCTTCCTAGCCCTTCAGTTTCTCTCATTAAGTTTTTTACTTTATGTTTCAACATTTGATTCATTTCAACTATCAACTTTTGCCACCGTGATTACAGCTGAAGCAGCAAAAAGGATGGCTAAAAAGCCACGACAGAACACATCACTTAACAGCGATGAAGGTGGCCATTCGATCTGCTATTCATCTTTGTAAATAGTAGCTCTAGAAATAAGTTAAATTTCTTTCATTTCTCAAACTCTTCGTGCTATTTGCAGGCAAGGAAGAATAGTGACTTACTTTCCTTGAGTATGGGGGATCTCCTGAATCCTTTTAACTTGTGTTTTGAAGTTTGGGACATGAGCACGTGTCTAAAAGAGGAAGTAAGTTAGTCAATGTTACTCTTATCTCTATCTAGGTTTTGTATGTGCAAGGGAAACAAAATACAAGGAGCTGGGAGGGAAGTCAGTTACCTGGATTTTACTCTTAAGAATAGGTATGGATACAAGTTTTGATAGATAATTTAGTGAGCTAATGTTTAATGTTTAATAGCACTTGTGCCAAATCAAGTCGATAATTGCCCTTTTTTTTTTTTTTTTGTTACGAATTCAGCTCATATAATTGTTTCTTTCATGTTTATTTAAAAATTAAATTGAACCTGTATGGTATCATGTTAAAGCAACAATGAAGGGTGAAAAAAGAGTCACGATTAGATCTAGTTGCAGTTTGTTGTTTCCTCTATCTATGGAAAAATTCCCTTGATATTTTTGGTTCTATTTGTTCAAGTTTTCTTCAAGCATGTCAGTGGCTTTTCCCCGTTATCCTGTTCCTTTCATTCGCTTTTTCTACAAGCTTCAGGTGGATCCAACCTGTCACAAAATGTATTATCTATGATATGTTCAGCCCCTATAAATCAACCCTTATGTCTTCTAGAGCTGTAACAGTGAAATTGGCTTCTATTCCTGTTTAATTCTAAAATTTTTAATGCTTAAGAGAGCATGATCATGTAAAATACCTCATGATTGATACAATGACGTAGCAGAAAATTTGCAAACACTATTTTATTAAATACTGATTTCTCAACCCATTCTGATACAACTAGCATTCTTATAATGGGTCCCAAGTTTTGAAATTGAGCAACCCATTTCAAAGCAAGTGTAATAAATGGTTAATGAGATATATATTATGATTGCCAGCCATTATTTGAATAAAAGGGATTTTTATTGATATAGAGTAATCATTTAATATAATTTTTTTTCATAATTGTCTAAAATATTAGCGCTAGCAAAGCTGTCCAAAATTCAAAATTTTGTCTAAACTGATTCATGATTGAACTCCAAGTAACTTGAACAAAAGTTTATCAAAATTAAAAAAAAATTCAATTCAAAAAGGCTCAAAATGGACAAAACTTAAATCTATCATGATCCAAATCCATAATGATTTAAATCCAAGACTTGAAGTATATGACTATTTAAAAATAAATAAATATAAACAAATGATAAACATTTTTCTTAAATAGAAATTTAAAAAATATTATTATTTATAATTATTAAATAATTATATCAATAATATATTATAAAAAATTAATATTAAATATTTAGATTTGATTATAAAATAAAGTTAATTTAAAAACACACTAAATATGAATATCAAATAATTTTTAATACTATCCTTATTATATTTACAACAATTATCAATACAAAATAAAAATAATATCATTAATTTAAAATTTGATTATATTATAAAAATAATAATTTACAATATATTACTGATTTATTTTAATATTAGATAAAATTTTTAATAAAATTTAATGTTTAATTGATTTATTAATATATATTAAAATTAAAATTAAGGTGAGGGTAGAATTAATTATTACTAATAGTAAATTAAAGCAAAATTTAAAAGTATACTACATTAGTAATAATTTTAATGCAATTAATTTTTATATTTTATTGATATTAAGATTAATTAATTATATTTAAGTAATCACATTTATTAAGTTTAGGATTATTAGCGTTATAGAATTAATTTAATAATATTTACTATTGAACATTCTAATTGGATATTTGATCATTTGGTGCGCACCCAATGTTAATTATATTTTCATGTTAATGTCAACATAATCAAGTTAATGCTCTTTTAATAATATTGACAATTCAATTTTGTGAAATTTGGTCCATTGGTGTAATGATTATACGAAAATAGGAAGCAAACCTCACTTCACTTTGGGACAAAATAATTTTATATTAAATTGATGTTGAATAAATAAAATAAATAGATTTATATATTTTTGTAGTTAAAGAGATTACTTAGACATATTTTACTATTACCATAGCATTAATGCAAGTATCAATATGTTTTCTAAAACCTTTGTTTTGAAGGATGATTAAAACTAACAAAGAAAAGGAAAGCAAATTGGTATGAACTCAACAATACCTCATAATTGAACTTGTGTTTGTGAATAGGCTTAAACTTTTGAACATCCAATATTGTTAATTCATCATCCTACAATAAAATAAAACAGAATAAGATCAATGATAAAAATAATTTATTAGCATGATGAAAAATGCAACAAAAAACTGCTCTTTTGCTACTTAGAATCCAGCACACATAAAAACTTCCAAGTCAAAAATGTGTTGAAGTGCTCCAAGTGACATAAGATAGTAAGACATACCGTATTACCAATAACTATGTGTGTCCTATCAAGTTTATAGATGATAAGGCACACAAAGGTACTAATACCATAGAAACTGAGAAAAGTGTTGAATAGGCCAAAAGTAGAGAACAACTGACCAGATAAAATTTATACCTTAAGCAGCTCGTTTTTAAATTTTTATTAACCAAAATTTTATGTCAACTGATAGAAAATATTTTACCTTATCCTTTTTCTCATTTATTAGTACAATTATTTTTATCAAGTTCATTAGTACAATTCTAAAATTGAATATTCTATCAATAAATTACCATGTGATATTCACATGTGAATCTAAAAAATCCTTATATGTAACTTATTTGATTACTACTACTGTTTAGGCTAACCAATTTTTTATTGCATTAGCAATTAAACGAAAAGCACTTTTATGATCAAACCATTCCACCTATATGTATAATAGAGTTAAAGCATACTTTACCTTAATTGTGACATTGAGGATGGAACATGGAAACAAGACTCTCCCAATCATGAACCCACTTCACATTGTTCTCAAAGTTGCCAATCTTGGTTAAGTTTACAGGAGCAAATGGACCAAATTAATTGCTTTTTGAACCTTGTTTTGAATCCTCCAAACTACTTGTATGAGTCACAGTCACCAAATTTTCAACTTTTATTTGCTTTTACATCTTCTTGCGTTGTTTAAGATTTTGATCATTTGAAGAATCAACCTTATTCCTCTTGAAACTAATGTTTGTAACATCAGTTCCAAACACCTTTTTCTTAGATTCATGAAGAACCAAAGCATAAAAAAATCCTTTTTCTAATTTCCCTCTGAGCCTTAATCACCTAAATGTAGGCTTCCTTGTATTTACAATATGGGTTTACACAATATTCATTTATCTTTGAGCACTTAAAAACACCATATCTTAAGTCTGTAAGAATAATAAAGATGTTGAGATTGAAGTCAAAGAAGTTCTAATTTCTCATCGATTTTCTCAATCTATTTACCCTCTTAATAAGATTCATAGAAGACAACACGTTTGTAATGCCATATAGCCATTTTACTTTTACTGTTGAATCGTCAAATGAACAACAAATAAGTTAATTAGTTGATCTCTTTGTAGTTATTTCTCAATTCAAAATGAGTTGGGAAAAGTTAGGACTTATTATTTTTCATTATTGAGGTACTGTGAGCATTACCAAGCAACAACCTCATTGCTTAATCAAAGGAGATCTCGACCTAGAAAACCAAATCAATATATACAAACTCACACTTAATAAAAAAGAAATACAAAAATAGAATCATATAACTTCAAACTTAAAAAACTTACTATCTCCAACTATACCTTTAAAACAAATATCACAAAAATCTAACCAAAATAGAGAATTAAACTTTTCGCTCACCTCAAACCTAATTAGCAAACAACCTCAAACAACTCTTATAGAAAACAATTATATCCATCATTTATAAAATCAAATCTTAAACAAAACAACCTTTAAACTAAAAAAAAAAGGCAAAGGTTTCCAACTATACTAATATATTAATAAATTAGCATGTGATATTCACGTGTGAATTTAAAAAATCTATATATATAACTTATTTGGTTAATACTACTATTTAGGCTGACAAATTTTCCATTGCATTAACAGTTAAACAAAAAGCACTTCTATGATCAAACCATTTCGCTTATATGTATAATAGAGCATTAAAGTATACCTTACCTTGATTGTGATATTGAGGATGGAATGCTAATATTATAGTTGAATATCATTTTCTAAATGGTTTTACAACCTGAGTTTACATTGATTTTAGCCTCTTTTTCTATTCTCTTCCACTATTTTGGTTTTGTTTTTATTGTTTCTAATCCCATAATGCAACACATCTCATAATGCCAAAAACATTCTATTTGTGCTCTTGTTTGATTTTTGACATATTAACAACTTAAGTAGAAAATAACTCAAGTAAAAGCAACTTTGTTCTGATTGACTCGATTAGGTATAACAAAAGTACCTTCACATTTGGCTTTCATTGTTGCTTGTAATAAGGCAATATATGTCTTGTTTTAGATGATAAAAAATCATATTATAGAGAAAATACTTGAGATACAAGGAAAGTTTACTGATAAGATTATAACCATTAAAAGTGAAAACCATACATCAAAGTCATGAGCATTTGTCTAAAGAATGTCATTCATTTTCCACAAGATTCTTGTATGTTTGCACCTAAGTTGCTTACAATCCCTTATAATCAGGACAAAACTCTCATCCAAACACATGACATTTATTAACTCTTCCTCTTCTACTTACAGCACCTATACTGAAACAAACCTGATCTTTAAAATGTCAAAGATCAATAAATTTGATCCAAAAGCAGTTAACATTCATCTAGAAGTAGTTTTTTAGACATTCTAATATTTCAAGGAACAAAAGAATATAATTTTTTGCTTGATTAAATCATTTAACAATTGATGTTGACAAACTAAGCATGAGCACACAGCCTTGAATTAAGGAGATATTTTTTTATAACACCAACTTTCTTTACCATTGTATATTTTGTTTAAAATCTCCCACTCATGAATAAACACAAACTTAAACTCTGTTCGTGCAATCTCCTTCAACTAACAACCAAATCCTTCTTTCAAATTCCAATAAAAAATGTAATCATTATCAACTTAATAAAAATAGGTTATGAGCAAAGCGAGAAAGCATCCAAGACTAGATGTCAGTAAAATATCTAACTTAAGCCCAAACATTCAATCTTATTTAAACAATAATTAAGCTAAAATCTCAATTTAAAAGAAAAAAATTAATTCACCATTTGCTTTTGTTTTATAGCATCTTTATAGGAAACTAAAAACAATAACCAATAACAGCAACAATGAAACCAAGCATTAAATCACCAAGAACAAGCAATTATGAAAAGTTGTAAAAAACAATTCAATTAAAAAGATTAGGTTTGATTTCGTTAATACCAACTTTATCTTTGATGGTAGAGGTGTTGTTGGTCTTATTGAAGTCTTGTTGTCGATTTTCTTTAACATCACCATTAAGGGCAGCAACACAAACAGCTCTACCAAAACCTTTCTTGCTTCGCAAAGTAGCTAATTCTAACCTACATCTCTTTGAATGGCTGAAATTAAGAGAATTGAGCTTAAGCTGAGTCTTGGCTAACATTACAAATCAATATATACAAAATCACACACAATCAAAAAGTCATTTCCACCCTGTATTTCCTTAAATGTCAATCATTTCCAACTTGCGTTATTTCTACTATTGTTGAATCATCAAATGAACAACAAAAAAGTTATTTCCAATTGCATCTCTAATCTATTTTCCTTCTCAATAAGATTCATGGAAGACAACACGTTTGCAATGTCATATAGCCACCTTACTTTTGCTATTGAATCATCAAACAAACAATAAATAATTCAATTAGTTGATCTCTTTATAGTTATTTCTCAATTTGGAATGAGGTGGGAAAAGCTAAAGACTTATTACTTCTTATTATTGAGGTATTATGAGCATTACCAAGCAACAACCTTGTTG